GAAAGTAGAAGCAAACAGACTCAGGCCTATAAGCTTAGTCTCCTCCCTTTATAAGATTATTGCCAAGGTACTGGTGGATAGACTCAAAACGGTCATTCCCTTCATCATTGCAGACGAACAAGCTGCTTTTGTGGAAGGTAAGCAGATCTTGGATGCTATTTTAGTGGCTGCAAAGACAGTTGGTTACTGGAAGTCCACGAACAAGCCAGGTTTCTTGATAAAGCTAGATTATGAGAAAACTTACGATATGGTGGATTGAGATTATATTAATGCGATGTCGGAAAAAAAGGCTTCGGCCAACGTGGAGAATGTGGATAAGGGGCTGCTTGTCCTGGTCAAATTTCTCTATTATCGTCAATGGTAGACCAAGAGACAAAATTAAGGCCACAAGAGGATTACGGCAAGCAGACCCTATCTCTCCTTTCCTTTTCACTCTCGTGGGAGACTCTTTCAGTCGGCTTGTGCACTTTTGCTGTGAGAAGAGAATGATTAAAGGCTTCGAGGTGGGGAAAAAAAGGTGATGATATCCCATTTGCAATATGCCGGTGATACACTGTTTTTTTGCCCTGATGAGAAAAGTCTTCTGTTCAAATGGTGGATTGTAGTTAATTGGTTCTTAAGGGCCTCAAGCCTTTCTTTAAACCTAAATAAGACTTCCTTGATTGGCTTAAACATCAATGAAGATAGACTGAATCAAAGATCCCTAAGCTTGGGATGTAGAGTGGAGGATTTTCCTTTCTCGTATTTGGGTCTACCTCTTGGGGGAAACTACAAAGCCACAGGACTGTGGCAGTATCTGTTGGGAAAATTAAAGCAAAAGCTTGATAAATGGCACAAGCTAGTCCTCTCAAAAGGAGGGAGATTGACGTTAGCCCAAGCAGTATTGAACAGTGTGCCCATATATTATCTTTCACTTCTGAAAGCTCCTATTTGTATTGCTAAACAGATAGACAAGCTTGTGAGAGATTTTTCTGGAACTCAGACAAATCACACCCCCACAGAAATCTGGTTAATTGGGAAACCACGTCGTAACCCTTTACAAAATGAGGTCTCGGTATAGAGGCCTTTCATCTTCGAAACAATGCGTTACTTTTGAAATGGTTGTGGAGGTTTACCTAAGAGGGAGATGCCCTTTGGAGAAGAGTAATTGAAAGCATTTATGGGTTAGAACCACTTGGGTGGATGACTAAAAAGCCCAAGGGGAAAGCGGCTGGTAAGCCTTGGTTTGAAATAGCTAAGAACAACATCCTTTTCCTCAAATTTCTATCTTTCAAAGCTAAACATGGTGATAGAATCTGGTTCTGGCTAGACAGATGGACTGGGAACACTACTCTTGCCCATGATTTTCTTGACATTTTCGCTTTATCCTTGAAAAAGGAGGCCACGATTGCTGATTGTTGGAAATAAGAGTAGCTCGCTTGGGATCTAGGCATGAGGAGGGGTCTGCGTGATAGCGAAGTAAGGGGTTGGATTGATATTATGAGCAGGCTGGACACCATTCGAATTGGTGAAGGAGCTGATAAAGTGGTTTGGTCCCTTGATTCCTCTGGCATTTACATGGTTAAATCGGGGTTAAATATCTTGTTTGTAGACTCCCCAAGTTTGAACTCTCCTTTAACTTCTCTTCTTTGGAAATTCTCAATTCCAAAAAAGGTGAAAGTTTTCCTTTGGACCCTAGCCAACCGAGCTGTAAATACAGTAGATAGACTCCAACGAAGATGTCCAAATTGGGCTCTTTCTCCTTCCGTTTGTGTTCTTTGTAATCAGAATGAGGATACCATGAATCGCATTTTTCTTCACTGCCAGTTTGCTTGTCGTGGGTGGTTCTTTCTGCTGCAAATCTTTGGGTACTCCACTTGTTTGCCTCAGAATATTAATGGGTGGATGAATGAAGCTCTTCGGGGGTGGCATTTTAGAAGGAAAGCAAAAATCCTATGGAATTGTGCAGCTAGAGCTCTTATTTGGAACCTTTGGATGGAAAGAAACAATAGAATTTTTGAAGATAAGTGCTCTTCGTTAAAATTTTTTTATAACACAGTACAATTACACACTTCTTATGGTGTTAATAGGCCTAGAAAATTCTTTTGTAATTATAGCCTCTCGTCGATCGTGCAAGATTGGAGTGCTTTACTTCACTAAATCTTGGGAGGGGGAGCCCTCTTCCCCCTGTCCTTAGGCTGTCTTTTCTCTCTATGCTTTTTCAATATAAAGTTTCTTATCCAAAAAAAAAAGAAAAATTTCCATGGCACATATATGTGTCAATTGTCATGTCTCTTTCCCTTATTGTTTGATTCACTCCGATCAATGGGAGAAGTTTCATGTAACTCCTTTGGCTTTTTGGGGTTTCTTCTCCTCTTCCTTTATTTTTGCTTCTTTTTGCTCTTTTTTCACTCATTTTGGAGTTTGTATCTTTGAACATTTCTCCTTTTTATCAATAAATGAAAAGTTGTTTCTTGTTCAAAAAATTTCGTACATCAATGAAATTGTTTCCTACAGAAAGAAAGTTCATAAAGCCCCTAAGTGGCAGCCCAGTTGGCGAGGGCTTGGGGTCTCTTTTTCACGTTGGCTTACAGTATACATTGCTTTTTTGCCCTGCTGGTAATGGAAACTTGGAGAAATGGTGGATTGTGGTAGCCTTGTTCCTGCAGGCCTCAGGTTTATCCATCAATCTTGACAAGACTGCCCTTATTGGTATTAACACTTCTGCTAATAAGACAGAAGCAAAGGCAAAGAAGATTGGGTGCAGAGTAGAAGCTCTCCCTTTCTCCTACTTAGGTATTCCCCTCGGGGGAAATTTTAAGGCTTTAGCCTTTTGGAGGCCTTTGGTGGAAAAAGTCAGAATGAAGGCAGAAAAATGGCAAAAACTTATTCTGTCAAAAGGGGACGGATTGACGTTAGCTCAGTCGGTGTTGAACAGTTTGCCGATTTATTACCTATCTCTTTTAAAAGCCCCGGCTGGAATAACTAAAGATCTTGATAAGTTGGTGAGGGATTTCTTCTGGAAAGGAGGCAGCTCCCATCCTCATCGAAACCTAGTTAAATGGGATATTACTTCCCTTCCCCTGAAGATGGATGGCTTGGGCATTGGAGCTTTCCAGCAACGCAGCAACGCTTTGCTCCTTAAGTGGCTGTGGAGATTTACGCAGGAGAATAATGCTTTGTGGAGGAGAGTTATAGTAAGCATTTACGGAGTCGATCCTTTCGGGTGGTTGACAAAAAAACCCAAAGGAGCAGCTTCAGGAAAGCCTTGGTTTGACATTGCCAAGAACAGCTAACTCTTCTTGAACTTCTTGTCCTCTAAAGCGAACCACGGGGACAGAATCAGATTTTGGCAAGATAAATGGGCAGGAAATGAGACGTTAGCCCAAGAATTCCCTGATATTTATAGGCTGTCTTCTTAACAGAATGCTACTGTGGCAGAATGTTGGAGGGAGGACCAACAAGATTTGGATTTGGGATTAAGAAGGGGTCTCCTTGACTGAGAGATGAATAGCTGGATGGGTATTTTATCGAGGCTTTATACGATGCCCATAGGGGAGGGAGCAGACAGAACCATATGGACTATTGATTCTTCTGGCCTTTTTACAACGAAGTCTGCCTTTAGAAGTTTTTTTTGAAATTACTCCAAAGCTGAAACTGCCCCTCATATCTCTCATTTGGAAGTATGGAATTCCCAAGAAGGTTAAAGTCTTACTTTGGACTTTAGTTCATAGAGCACGCAACACGCATGAAAGGCTGCAAAGAAAATGTCCAAATTGGGCTTTGTCCCCTTCGGTTTGTGTTTTTTGTTTTAAGGAAGAGGAGACAGTGGATCACGTCTTTATTCATTGCAATTTGTTTCTTAACCTTTTTTGCAAAATCTGTTTTTATTTTTTTTGTTTCTTTTTTCATAACTTCTGTTCGATGTGGTTCTTTTCTCTTTCTTTTCGCTTCCATTGGGAGTCTTGTATCCTCGAGCAATTTGCTCTCTTTTCATATTTTCAATGAAAAGTTTTGTTTCTTGTTAAAAAAAAAAAACATTTGTAACCATCATAGGTAACTCATTGCTCCAAAGGGGCTAGGATTAATTAAGAGGGAATGGGTTCAAATCCCATGATGTCCACCTACCTTAGGAATTAGTAATTCCTATGTGTTTCCCGGCACCAAATGTTGTAGGGTCAAGTGGTTGTCCCATGAGACAAGTCGAGGTGTGCGTAAGCTGGTCCGGACACTCACAGATATTTAAAAAAAACATTTGTTGAACTTGGAGATGAAATCTCCTTAGCCACCCAACTCCTCGTCCACCAGACGGGTTGAAATCCATAATCCATCCATTGTTTTGTCACATTCCTGCTTGGCCAACTTAGCAGTGAGATGATAATTTCTAGGAAATGCCAGTTGAGTAGCCTGTTTAGGGCCCATATACATTACCAAAAACTGATTATAGTACCCAAGAACCAAACATGTAGAAAGGAGATGGGGAAGAGAAAAAGCAGCAATGCTCTACTTTGCCTCACTCATGTTCTCTCCTCCTTTCCATCTTCTATCGCACTTATCTCCTATTATTTCTAATGGAGTGGTTTAGCCCTTGTCCATTCATGACAAGTAGACTCATTTCTTCAAATGGTGTAAAATCAAGGACAAGTATTTTAAAATTTTCTCTTAATGGGAACAAATTCTAACTTATTGAGTTCACAAATCGTAAGACATTATTTATGTCCCATTTAGCACTACTTAGTTAGATGGTTGAGTTATATCTTTAAACTATGTTGGACTATTCTTAGGAAGGAAAGTTATTTTTAAGAGAGTCAGCATTGTGCTAACTATGTTCCTTGTATTCAAAAACTTCCAATTGAAATGATCACATTTCAATAGATTTATCGAAAATCTTTGACAATGTATGTAATGGTCTAATTTATCTTTGATTCTATTTGAAGATTTTTTTTTGGATTAATAATGCATAGGTTCGAGTTTGATGAATTAATGAAATTATCCAACCTTCTTTGCTTTATTTCATTTAGGTAGATGATACACTGGACTTATTTGACGAACTGCAATTGCAACATCAGGCTGTGGCAACAAAGACTAGAACGCTTCATGATGCATGTGATAGACTGGTATGAATTGACCTCTACCATTTTATGATGTTTTATTAGAACAAGATATGAACTTCTCATTGAAATAATGAAAAGAAATACAATGTTTCAAGATACAAACTCCCGGAGTGAAAGTAGCTAAAAGAAAAGTAAACGAGAACATCGAAAGGAAAAACTAGAATACAGAAGAAACAAACAATAAAAATCACCAGGCTTGGTTGTGAGACGATGGCGAGACAAATAAGCTTAAGTGGATCCTTCAGACTAGGAAGAAAGCTGCCAACAACTTTTGAGAGCATCGATAGCCAAGAGGCAAACAACCATCATATTTGATAATCAGATTAAAAACAAGTCGAAGGATTCTGAAATTTGCAAAAAAGTGATTCATACTCCAACTTTCATTCAGAAAGCAGTTCCATATTTCTTCTCAAACGATCTTATTCACAATAAACCACATTCTTTAGCGCTTTTTCTAACTCCTTTAGAAATTCAAGCTGCTGTTCATTATAAGAGAATCCCAAAGAAGAAACAGAGGAAGGGCGGTGAGGAAACATTATAGAGTAGAGAACGTTTAAGGACTTTTTGGGCGGGTAGAGATGCTTTGCCTTTAAACCCAAAAACCAAGAGTATCCCCTTGATAAAATATGAGAAATATGACCTCTTCAAAACCAAAAGACCCCTTTCTTTAAATAAGAGAAGCAAGAGCATAGAAAGACTTTTCATCTTCCTAAACCAACAAAAAATAGGTGGGAAAATGGATTAAAAGCTTCTTTTATTTTTGAACAAGAACAACTTCTCATTGAGTTAATAAAAAGATAATACAAATGTTCAAGAAAACAAACTCTTGAAAGAGTGAAAGAAAGAAAGCTACAAAAAACCGGAAACAAAACTCAAAAGACAAAAGACGAAAAATGTATCTACTTAGAATTAAGAAACACTCCCCGATCAGCGTTGATAAGATTAGGAGAATAATGTGAGAATGAATCAATTAGAGAACACCAATGGGAAGCTTTAAACTGAGCTGAAGAAAAGCACTCCATAAAAGACCGATGCTTGTCAACCATCATGGGATGATTCAAGTGATCAATGAGGGCCAATGTAAATAGCAAAGGATTTAGAGGGAATAAGTTCAACCCATGGTGGCCACTTACCTAGGATTTAATATCCTACGAGTTACCTTGTTAACCAAATGTAGTAGGGCCAGGCGGTTGGCCCGTGATTAGTCGAGGAGTTGGCCTGGACACACGGATTTCAAAAAAAAAAAAAGACCGATGCTTGTCCTCAACAATCCTGAATTCTGCTCAAACCATAACTCGGATAATAATGCTTGGACAACGTTAATCCATAAAAATCTAAATGCTGAAGAAGCATGAATAGGCCCGCTAAGAAGCTGAAAAACATTATCAATGGCCCTTTGATAAAAAACATACTCCATATTGAACTGACAAAGAAGAATTCTCCAGCAATTGACTGTAAAAGGACAATGGACGAAGAGATGATCAATATCTTCCCCACTTGTCGTGCAAAGGAAACAAACAAAAGGAAGAAGAGCGGACAAGGGGAGCTTGTATTCAGCTTTCCTTGGTAAATAATCCAACAAAAAACGTTGAAAAAGCTTAATTGGTTATTCTTAGAACCAAAAGACTCCTCTTTCTTTTTTTTCCCACTATTCTCTTCTCTTTTTCGTTTTCTTTTTTTTGAACAAGAAACGAGATTTTTCCATTGATTAATGAAAAAACCATACAATGCTCAAAGATACAAACCCCAAGAGGAGTGAAAAAGAGATAAAAGTAAACTACAGAGTCTAAAGAGAAAGAAAAGCTTCCCAATTGCTGTAGATGGTGGATGAGAATAGCTTGAGAATAAATTCGAGAAGGCACACCATTGGGAGGCTTTAAATTTGGTAAGCTCGAAACATTTGAAACGGTCTTTCTTCTTGTCATGGAAAATACGTTGGTTCCTTTCAAACCATAACTCTGAAATAATGGCTTTGATAGCATTAACCCAAAGAGATTGGGCCTTCGGGAGGGAGAAAGTATAAAAGAATAGCTGCTGGATGTTGCTTTTGGTGTTGACCGAGAAGACCCAAGACAAATTAAACAGCTGGAAAAGAGCTGACCAGCAGCTTGATGCAAAAGGGCAATGGAAGAAGATATGATCTTGTGTCTCACTGTTAGAATAAATAAGGCAACAGACTGAGGGCTGTAACTGGAAGTTGGCCATCTTTCTTTGCAAAGTTTCTGCTGTATTCAAATGCCCATTTAGTAGAATCCAAGAATGAATATTAACCTTTTTTTGGGCAAGAAGATTTCCAAAGACCCGAGAATAAAGCCTTTGGAAGAGGGGTCCCTTTTGTAAGATGGGAGTATTAGGAGTTTACTGACTCTTTGAGGCCTCAAGATTCCAAAGTAATTTATCTTCTCCCACAGTAATGGACACTGATCTCAAATGAGATAGTAAAGCTACAAGTTCATAAAACTAATAGATAATGTAAGTGTCCTGTGAAAAGATTTTAGATGGACCTTCTTCCATCTCCCTGTACTCCGTCCTCCGACCATGTTCCGGCCAGTGCTTAGACTTTTGCTATTGTCTCTTCTCACAAATGGGATCGAGGAATAGGTCAGTCAGAATTGAAAACAAGACCTTTGGTTGCAGTCTCGACCCGGAGAAAAGAGGGTGGTTTTTCATGATAACGGAAAAACATAGTAAGAGATTCTTCTCTGTCTCAGTCGAAGAAGTGGTTGTTGTCTGGATGGTGGATAACCTTCAGGACCTGCTCTTTGCCCCTCAGACTCATAAGTTCTTTCGGTAGGTGGACTGCAATGGTGGCTTCATCTGGCTCCAAAAGATCTCAAATAGAAGAGGTTGTTTGGTGGAGTTAACGAAAGTGCAAGTAAATGGAGGAAAGAGAAATTTGGTTGTTCCTTCAGACGAAGATTTTAAAGGCTGGATAGCTTTTAGGGAAATGCTTATAAGTTTTGTGAACCCGGTGGAGGAGGATTACCAGGTACAGGGTTTGAAGAAGGTGAAATCTTATGCAGAGGTTATTAGAAACAAAAAAGAACAGCTTTTGAAGGGTAAAAGCGAAGGAAAGGTTGAGACAACAGAAAAAGGAGAAGATGGAGAAGTCAGAGCTTTAAACTGGGAAGAAACTATAGTAGTGACACGACGAGATTTCCATGATGATTGGGGTTGGATTCTAGAAATTTTACAGAATCAATTAGAAGAAAGATTTATCATCAATGCTTTTCAACTGGACAAAGCTCTTTTAAAGTGCAAATCGAGTGAGCTGGCGAGACTTCTAGCTTTGAATAAAGGTTGGATTACCTTTGGACCTCTTACTCTGAAAATGGAGAGATGGGATGCTAAAAAACATGGCCGCATTAATGTAGTTCCTTCTTACGGTGGATGGGTAAAAATCAGGAACATTCCTCTCCTTTTATGGAGCCTAGCGACTTTCAAAGCAGTGGGAGACTGTTTAGGTGGCTTCATTGAATATGCAACTATGCAAGTAAAAATGCCATGCTTACTGATTGTTTTGAAGTGGTCATTAAGATAAAAGGTAACTATTGTGGTTTTGTTCTTGCTGAGGTTAAACTCTTTGACAAAGATCAGATTTTTATAGCTTAGGTTAGCACCTTCCAAGATGCAGATTTGTTGATTGGAAAAGTTGCCGGAATCCATGGTTCTTTCTTGCCAGAGTCGGTGGCAGCTTTCTACAGTGAAAGGGGAGGCGAAAGAGTTTGTCCAGTGGATCTTTGGAGGGTCAAAGATGGTTGTCTGAGTCCACCAATGGTTATTATTAGATACCCAGAAGTTACCCAAAGTCAACCATTGGGGCCCATGGAGGCAGGTATTTGTCTTTCACCTTTTTGTGATAGTATGGTAGGGTTTCCCGAAAAAACAGAGGTTCAGCCAACTTTTGGGCAGACCTCGAGACCCACAACTGATATGACAAATCAAAAGTTGAAGGCTCCTTCCATCTCTGTACAAGGGCGGGATTGTAGAGGAAAGGGAGTTTCTTTTAACAAAAAAAAAAGAGGTTAGAATCCTTACAAAAAAAAGGTATCATATGCTCAACCGGAAAGGGAAGTCCTGCTGCGGATTTCGAAAATGGTTTAGATGGAAAAGGGAAGGAAGTCGAGGTAGCCTCTGACTTTTCTTGTTCCAGCCCGGCGAGTTCCTTTTATGAGGAGAAAGGTGCAGATGAAAGAAATGAAGGGGACGAGCCTTTGGAGGCAACCTTTTCAGAGGATTTAAATAATTTATTTCTAGAAGAGGAAGTGTTAGAGCAACCTGAGGAAGAAATCAGGCAGAATGGTATGGAAATCATTATTAGAAAAGAGGTGGGGGCAGACTCTCTTGGCTCCCTCGTTAGATGTGCAACAAATAGAAGAGCCACAAAGCATGGAAGTAGGGGAAAAATGTCACTTTCCTTTCTCTAAGAGGATGGTTCGGTATTTAAAAAAGCATAACATGTGCATAAGACCCATTCCTTCGAAGGCTAATTCGGCCTACAAAGGGAACTCCCAGACTAAGAAAGTGTCTAGAGAAGTTACAAATCTCCTTAGAACTTGGGAGAAGGAAGCTGATTTAGAAGTAGATGATAGTACCCAGGAGAATGAAGTTTGTTTATGAAGATTCTTTCTTGGAACGTTCGGGGGTTGGGTGCTCTACCCAAAAGGGCCTTGGTTAAAGAAGTTTTGAAGAAGAATGATCCGGACCTAGTCATCCTTTAGGAGTCGAAACTTTCCTCTATAGACAGAAGGCTCATTAAATCAATTTGGAGCTCTAGACGGATTGGGTGGTCTTCTTTGGATGCAGAGGGGACGGCCGGTGGTATTTTGATGATGTGGAAAGAAGACAAAATCACAGTGGCTGATTCCCTGATAGGTGAGTTCTCTGTAACTTCTCTGTAACTGTTGATTTTTGTTATAATAACATCTTTAAGGGTTGGATTTCAGGTGTGTATGGCCCTGCCACCCCTCACGGTAGAGAAAATTACTGGAATGAATTAGCTGCTCTTTCATAATTCTGTGTTGGCTGTTGGTGTTTAGGGGGTGACTTTAATGTAACTCGATGGACTTCGGAGAAGCCAAGAGGAGGCAGGATAACTAAGAGTATAGGCTCTTCAATGACTTAATTGTTGAGCTTGATTTGGTAGATATTCCAATGAAGAACGGTCAGTTTACTTGGTCGTGTCGTAGGAATTCCCCGTCTGCCACTAGAATTGATAGATTCCTCATCTCCCAAGATTGGAATATGGCCTTTAAAGATGTTATGTTAAATAGGATATCTCGAACGACTTCCGATCATTATCCCCTTTTACTCAGTTTTGGTTCTCATAAATAGGGTCCAACCCCTTTCCGGTTTGAGAACATGTGGATGGACCATCCGGATTTTCTGGAAAAAATTAAACAGTGGTGGATGGAGGCTTCTCCTAGGGGATGGTCGGGTTATGCTTTCATGGAACCTTTAAAAATTCTAAAGGGACATTTGATCAAGTGGAATAGAGAAGTTTTTGGCAGGGTGGATTGCGAGAAAAAATAGTGCCAGATGCAAATAGATGAGATAGACAAGGCTGAGGAGAGGGGGCACCTAGATGCTGATTTGAACACCAAAAGGAGAGCCTTGAGACTTCAGCTATCGGAGATGGTTTTTAAGGAGTTTAAACTATGGTCTTAGAAATGTAAGCAACAATGGCTTATGCAAGGAGATGAAAATACGCATTTCTTTCATCAATGGGCTTCGACAAGAAAAAACAGGAACTAAGTTTCATCGTTAGAGGATGGTCATGGGAATTTGCTCATTACTGATGAGGATATAGAGCAGGAAGTCGTGAAGTTTTTTGAAAGGCTGTATGCTACTACGGAGGGCTTGAGATTCACTTTGGAGGGTATTCAATGGGCCCCCCTCACCGGTCAGTGGAGTAGATGGTTGGAGGAACCTTTTAAAGAGGAGGAGATCCGGAAAGCAATTCAAAGCCTAGGAAACTTGAAATCTCCAGGTCCTGACGGTATGTCGAATGAATTTTTTTAAAAAACTTCATCTTGAAGACAAACATAGTAGAGATGTTCCAAGATTTTTTTGAAAATGGAATTATCAACAACAAGACCAATGAGACCTATATATGCCTCATCTCAAAGAAACTAAAGGCTAATAGAGTTTGTGAATACAGGCCTATTAGCTTGGTCACCTCCTTGTACAAAATAATATGTAAGGTCTTGGCTGAAAGACTCAAAAAAGTCCTCCCTGTTATCATTGATGACTCTCAGGCGGCTTTCGTGGAGGGAAGGCAGATTCTTGATGCTATTATGGTTGCTTCGGAGGTCGTTGGGGATTGGAAAGATAAGAAAAAAAGAGGCTTCTTGTTAAAGCTTGACCTAGAAAAGGCTTATGACAAGGTTGATTGGGGTTATCTTGACGCGATCTTGAGGAACAAAGGCTTTGGAAATAGGTGGAGAATGTGGATTAGAGGCTGTCTTACATCGACCAATTTCTCCATCATTGTCAACGGGAAACCGAGAGGGAAAATTAAAGCGAGAAGGGGGATTAGGCAAGGAGATCCCCTTTCTCCTTTCCTTTTCACTATTATTGGAGACTCACTTAGCCGGTCCATCCATTTTTGTTGCGAAAGAAGATTCCTAAGTAGCTCTAGGATAGGCCACAATAGGGTGACACTCACACACCTTCAATATGCCGATGATACTATCATTTTCTGTCCAGATGGTGATGACAACTTAGAAAGGTGGTGGACTTTCCTAGCTATCTTCATGATGGGATCTGGTCTTTCTCTCAATCTTGAGAAGACAGCCTTGGTGGGAATTAATGTGGAAAAGGAGGTTATTCTTGAGCAAGCTGCTATTTTTGGTTGTAAAGCAGAGGTGCTTCCTATTAATTATCTGGGGGTTCCTCTAGGAGGAAATTTCAAAAAAGCTTCCTTTTGGGATAAAATTGTAGAGAAGTTCAGGGCTAAACTCGAAAATTGGAAAAATCTTATGCTTTCCAAGGGAGGTAAGCTCACTATGGCTCTTTCAGTGTTTTAACAGCATACCGTTGTATGAAAAAAGTGATCTCAGAATTGGAGAAAATTGTTAGAAATTTCTTTTGGAGCGGCTACGGTCAACACCCTCAGAGGCATCTAGTGAGTTGGGAACATACTTCCCTGCCAAAGGCTTACGGTGGGTTGGGGATTGGAGCTTACCTTGAAGGAGGAAAGATGCTGTGATTTTCTCCAACATTTGGAAATATTAGTCCAAGGGCATCGAGAACTATTATTTTTCCTTTCCAAAGAGTGCCAATTGAAAGAATCCATACCATAGATGCCTGCTATCACAATACGCCACAGAGAGTCAATCTCTTGAGTGAATCTCCAACCCCATTTAGCAAGAAGGCATGATTTCTCTGCTTGAAATTCCGAAAACCTAAGCCACCATCACAAAGAGGAAGGGAAGTCACATCCCAGCGCACCAAATGCTTGATTTTGCCTTCAGAATTGCCCCTCCAAAAAAAATTCCGCAAAGAGCATTCAAGACTCTTACTAACTGATGAGGGTAGCTGAAAAACAGACCTGAAGTAAATTGCAATATTACTAAGTACTGCACTGCAAAGAGTAAGTCGGCCTCCTCTGGAAAGTTGAAAACGACTCCAACTTGATAATTTTTTCGCTATTTTTTCTTGGACAGGCTGCCAAAAAAAGTTTGATTTTGGATTCCCTCCGAGTGGCAAACCGAGATATGAGAAGGGAAGAGAGACCGCTTTACAATTTAACCTAGCTGCCAAAAGGTTTATCCTCTGAAGATCTATATTGATTCCACATACAGAAGACTCATCCCAATTTACCTTGAGGCCTGAAAGCCATATGAAAAGCTCAATTGGATTTAGCAAGGAGTGCAGCTTACTATCATCATCAGTTGAAAAAAGTAAGGTGTCATCTGAAAATTGGAGGTGGGAGATGTGCACTTTCCTCTGACCCACAATGAAGCCTTCTATAAGTTGCTTTTCATAGGCATTTTCCAGCAAACTACTCACCACATCACTTACCAAGAGGAAAAGGAAGGGAGAAAGGGGATCTCCTTGCCTTAACCCTCTTGATGCAGAAATTCGTCCCCAAGGTCTACCATTGATGAAGATGGAGAATTTAGTTCCTCTGACGCATCCCATAATCCACTTTATCCATCTTGACCCAAAACCTTTCTGTTTGAGGATGATTTCAAGAAATTCCCAATCAATCATGTCAAAAGCCTTTTCAAGGTCTAATTTTAAAATCCATCCTTTCTTCTTTAGCCGCTTGTATTCTTCAACCAATTCATTGGAAATAAGTATGGGGTCTAAAATTTGCCTTCCTTCTATGAAGGCGCTTTGATTTAAGGAGATGGTAGAAGGCATAACTTTTTTAAGTCTCTCGATAAGGACTTTTGATAGCACCTTGTAAACTGATGTTATAACGCTTATAGGCCTAAAATCTTTGACCCTGGATGCTTTATCTTTCTTAGGGATAAGACAAATGAAATTTTCCTTCAAGCAAGAATTGATGTGACCATTTTGGTAGAATTCCTGGAACAAACGGATGAAATCAGTTTTAAGAATGTTCCAGAACTTGAGAAAAAATTCTATAGTATAGCCATCAGGGCCTGGGGCTTTATTTTTCCCAAGAAGTTTTAACGCTGCTAAGATTTCTCCCTCATCAAAACTGGATTCGAGAAGGTTTCTACCAGCTTAATCCCTGAACTGAGCTGTTGTGATTAATATTTAGGTCTTGTTAGACAGACCTTCATCATATCCCAAAAAGCTACCCATCCGCTTTTGCCATAACCAGCTGCAATCTTGATTCTCCTTTCCCCCAGAAGTTGGCAAACAACACATTCAACATTCAACCTTGAATCATTTTTTACGGATTCTACATGTTCCCGAATTGTCTATGCTTGACCTGGACTTTGCAACAAATCAACAAAATACGGCACCAGATGAGATAAATACAGAGGCAACAGGGCTTTATTAAACATCTCTTCAACAAAATAATGATCCTTCTCAAACCAAATGCAATCCTTCATTTTGTCTCAAATGTAATGATCATCGTTTCCTCTTACCAAAACGAAAAAAAATGAGAGAGAATGGAGTGCTTGTGTTAAATTTCTTTTCCCTGTTTGGTGCTAAGGGGAGAGCATGCATTTTCTTTTAGAGTTTTTGTTCGGGAACTACAATCTATGGCTTTGCTATTGAATTATTTCCTTGTATTTGGTATAATCTGTACATCCTTTTGGTGTATGTGTATATTCTTAACGAAATGTTCTTTATAATAATGTTCTTTGTATATGAAAAATTATTGTATGTACTATTATGTGTTTGAATGATCAGCAACTTTGTCATCTGAAACTTTATAAATTGAAACTTAGTACGAATTTATCTTGTTTTGTTAAGTCGTTTTCTTCATTATAGGTAATGGAGAAGCAGAGACTAATTGAGTTTGCTGAAGCACTTCGCAATAAGCTCAACTATTTTGATGAGTTGGAGAATGTAAGGTTTGGCTTTTGACATAAGAATTTCAATATGAATGTTGTACTATTATTCAGTTTCTCTGACCATTTAGTAAATTCTTTTTCTTTTATTTTAGTTTTGATGGATCATTTTGATAGAAAATGGCACCTATTAGTTATAAAAAATTATAAGGTCAAAAACATCAACGAAATCTCTATTTATATTTTCCCTAAAGAATTCCTGCTCCTCTTTTCCACTATGAGAGAAAAAAACTTGCTCCAGAAATTTCTTTCCAATGTGTGGTAAACTCTAAGGAATACTGAAAATATTGAAAATCTTACTCCAAAAGCGTATTTGTAAAATTGAATTGAAGAAAAAGGTGGCTATGGTTATGATTTTCTTCATGGTCATTATACATCACTCACCAGTTAGGGCAGGGAGAACGTGTTGGTCCTCCTCAACCCATATTATTGGTGTTTAATTCCCCCCAAGCCAGTGTCCATATTAAGACTTCAGACTTTTTTGGACCAGCGTGTCCTCTTCCAATTTGTTTTTAGTACTAGCTTCATTTAGCACATGGTTATCTGCTAAAAGGAAATTGGTCAATGACTTAACCAAGAAGTTCTCACCTTTTTCAAGATCCCACACTTTTATCCTCAGTGCAGGTAGGAGTGAAGCCATCTTACTCTCCCATTTGATTGATAAAATCAGTAGCTTCGTTATAACCTATTTTTGGTGATGTGTTTGCAATCTATTGCTTGTTCTCTACAAATATAACCTAGCAATTAGCATTCAGTTTTACGTAATTACTGCCTACATTTTTGAAATTTTTCCATCCTTGATAATGGATAATTCGTTTGAAATTACATACCTTAACGTTTGCAAATTGTTTGTACATACCTTAACGTTTGCAAATTGTTTGCAGATCACCGCCATCTTTTATTCACCAAACATGAGTGTTGGAAATGAAAACTTTCTTCCCATGCTGAAAAGGCTTGATGATTGCATATTGTAAGTGCTTAAATTAGGTCATTGCTTTACTTAAGTTAGTTGAGTGTGACATTTTGAAGTTTACTTTTGTTTTCTTCAGATTTGCAGAGAGTAATCCCCAATATGCAGAGTCCAATGTTTATCTGCTAAAATTTCGACAACTCCAGGTCTATTTTTCTGTTATTTTTTACATTCCCCTCCCTGTTATTCATTGATAGCAGTTAACTAATTATTGGGCAGTTGAGTGTTGGAAAAGAAAAAGTTTCTGGTTTGCCGAAAAAAGAAAAATTAAAAAATTATAAAAAAAGTGCATTCTTCTTTCACTGAGCACAACAGAAAGAAGAGAATTTGTATCATTTTAAAACCCCTATGCTTATCGAATGATAGGAACGATAAAACCTGGACTTTTTAAAATTGGATTGAGGAAGCGGTGAGTGCCTTCAAGAGATTGAAATATGCTATGGGGAACTATTTTCGGTGTTGGCCTGCCCTCTCAAATTTTCTAGCTCCATTAGGAGTTGAAATTGATGCCTTAGGTTTAAGGCTAGGTGTTGTCTTAATGCAAAATCATCAACCTCAAGCCTATTTCAGTTAGGTGCTGCTTGAACAATTGCATTTGAAACCCATATACGTGAGAGAGTTGATGGAAATTGTGCTCACGATTCAACTACATCGTACTTGCAAGTCATAAGACTCAAGTTCCAGTTTCCCTTGTGCTAAGATGGTAGGGCCGAGTGGGTTAGAAGCTTTGGAGGCCGGACTAAAATGAAGAATTTGCCTCTTTCTTTGTGGAACAAGGAACACTTCGAAGCCACTAGTAAAATGTAGGTGGGCTCATTAGTATTTCTTTGGAAAAAATTGATTTGTTGAATTATTTTGAAGCTTCTGTTAAAGTGAAGAAGAATCAATGTGGGTTCATTCCAGAAGAAGTTGTTCATGAATCCATCCTGGTGATATGGTGGTCCAAATCTCTCCTTTAGTTGGCTGTGCATCCTCTTTCAGACCTGAATTTTTTAATATCATGAATTCAAATTGGCTTTGCAATCTTTTGGATTTTTCGCATGCCCAGGAAGTGAAGGAAGATGAACGGTTTTTTTTTCCATGGCTCCCTTTTTTATGACAAATTTTGGTAAGAAGTTGGGTGATAAGTCGTTAATGATCTGTCTTATACCCTTCATCCAGATTTGACTAACATTCTTGATGGCCTTGAGGTTTTTAATCCATTTGTTGAGCTCGGCATTGCACTTAATAGGGCTGTTGTTTTTAATGACGAGCATCTGGAAAAAGAAGTTATTGAAAATTCTTTGCATGAAAAGAATGTAAAAGATGCTTTGCATGAAGAGCTAGTTGAGAAAGTAATTTGGAAGTTGTTTTAGTTTCCTTGCATGAAAAGTTCCTTAAGTCAGTAGTTGATGGGTTCCAACTAGATGTTTTAATGCAGCTGCGGATATTGTGGCAATAGCTGATCATGCATCTCCCTCGAATTTAGTTGTTGGTTCACAAGCCACTTGTCCCTTGCTCAAGAAGAAGAAAGGGCAGGTTTGAAGATTTAAATTCTGATGAATTGATGGCTGTTGATGTAGTTAATTCAGCCTTGGAAAAGGAAAAAAAGATATTTCCTCGTCCTTTTTCTTTAAACAAGATACGAACATCTCACTGAAAAAATGGAACGGAAAAACAAAGGAAACAAACTCCCAAAAAGTGAGAGGAAAAAGAAAAAAAGAAAATAAAGAGCTCTGAAAATAATTGCAAATCTTAAAAGAAATAGGGCCGCGAAAAAAGGAAGAAACAATATTGCAGACCCTTCAAAAGATAATCCATGAACCAAAATAGATGAGAAAAAAGCCCTCCCATGGGTTCTCTTTTGCAGGGCCTGTGTTATAGTTATCAAGGAGGTAGCTTTGAGAACTCTCTTGTGCTCTCCATTTGCTTTGTTTGGAGGCTGATATTTTCTTTTTGGTCTTGTTTTCAGCTGTTTTTTCAGAGTTCTGTAGGCTGGGGACTTTTTTGGTTGTTTTGTTTTGGAGTCCGTGGTTGGTGACTTTCAAAATGGTGTCTTATGGTTTGGTTTGTTATGGAGAGTTTGCTTTGCTTTTTTTGGTTGGTTATTTTTTTCTACTCCTTTGTGGGAGTCTGTATCCTTTGAATATTTTATGATTTTCATCTATCAATGAAAAGTTTGTTTCTTGTTAAAAAAAAATTATCCTTGCAACTCTAATTGGCGTGATCTTCTAGAATGTATGATCTTCCACTCGAGTAAGGGACTGTGTGAGATTCTAGTCAAATGGAAATATCTTCTAGATTGCAAGCTCGGGAGCTACTTGATTTGGTTAGTAAGCAATTTATGGTGTTCCGCCTTGGGGACGAGGTACTTCTTGGGCCCAAGGTATTGTTTGGTCCCTGGCAACGTATATTGTAGGAGTGGTAAAAAGTGGAGTACACCCTTGATAGTTAGTTATGTATATGACAAGGTGGATATTTGTGTTGGGGCAATGAAAGTGTGAGATTTTTTTTTTAAAGAAACAGAGAATATATTGGTTAGCAAGACCATAAAAAAGAGGGGAGATAGGTATTCCCACAAGCTAAAGGTTTACATAAAGGACTCCCAATTGATCATAATACGAACAAGATCATAATTACAAGACTGTGAGATGGCAAGCAATTTTAATTGCAAGGTTGATTTTATGCCTGTCAAATATTTGGACTGCCATTGGGAGGGAACCCTAAACAGCATAGTTTCTGGAATCCAATTCTTGAAAAAATTTCTTTGAAGCTTGATAGATGGAGAAGATTTCATTATCAATGGGGGGAGGTAGGTTAAATTTCTGTAAATCGGTTTTTTAACAAGAAATAACTTTTCGTTGATATATGAAAAGAAGAAAAAGTTCAAGGATACAAAAATTCCCGAAGGAGTGAGAGAAAAAGAGAAAAGAGTCTCAACAAGGAGAAATACAATCAATATAAGAACAATGAATGCCATCAATAAGAACATGCTAACTAATATCAAAACGATCCACCAGGGGGCAAGGACACGAGAAAGAAAATTGGCGTGTCCTACTTTTTTGAAAATTGGCGTGTTGCCGTATCGGTGTTGTGTTGTGTCTGTGTCGTGTGACTGTGTCTATGCTTCTTTGGCTACCAATTGTACCACAAACACTCTGGATTTCATAGTTATCATGTAAGTCGGAATAAAGCCACAAACCTTATTCTCTCCTTGAATAAATGCTGCCGAACAATCCAACATATTTAGGGCTTTTGACGCGACTTTCGGCAGGCCATTGAGGTGAGTACCAATTGCCTGAAAGCATTGCATATTCCAGAAGTTTAAAGATAAATCATATATTTTCACCCACCCACCAAAACAAACCGACACTTCGTTTCTGCCGTGTTCTTCAATATTCCACTTTTCCAATTCACGTGAAGTCCATCTATCTAGCCATTTGCCATTGAGCCAATTAGGATTTAACAATCTTTCATGCTTGAATCTGTGTAAAGTCTTAGCTACCAAGAAGTAATTAACTTGACAATTCTTTGAGAATACACTTTTCAGGGATGCAATTTCCTTCCAATTATCATGTGCGCAAAATCTTGAAACAAGTATGACATTATTCCAATCCATTTCCACTACTTCAGATTCCTTTTTGACCCAGTAAGAATTTCTCCCCTTTCAAATTCTCGTTGCTTGACCAAAGAACATTCCTCTACAAATGTCTCATCCTCTACCGGAGGGGTTGGCATAATGCTGTTTCCTTTCTTAACCTTCTCTGTATTTGAATAATTAGAGACTTTCAATAGTTTTCATTGAAATTCACCGAACAATCTTTTAACATGTCCCGAAAATCCCAACCCCAACTCTAGCCGCCACTGCCCCATCCATTCTTCTAGACGCCGCCGCACCATTCGCCGTCGCT